AAATATGTTCATATATACCAAAAAGCAGTGTGACATTTTGAGCTGGCCAAGCAAAAATTTTGATGGTCAAGCTGTGTACAGATGTATTAAGATGATCAAATTTTCTTTTAATAATTATTATTACAGAACATGTGGAACATTAGATACAAACAACTTTAGCAAAAATCCTACTTACCTGGAAGAATTCTGTTGTTCCAAAATACGCTGTTGAGTTTCCCAGTTTGCTTTCTCATCCTCAAACTGGCGGCGCTTTTCCTCTAATTCTTTGTGCTGCGCCTCCAAATTCTTTTTCATTTGCTCATGGCGTCGTTGGAGCTAAGAAATTGAGGCACAGTACATAGTCAGAAACTGCACAAACACTGCAACATTAGAAACAAGATTAGGAGTTGTACTGTACAGTGTGCCACACCAGCTACTGTAACAAAGTGAGGACCCGAGTTAGAGACCAAAACTGTTGATTCCACTCTTTACCACTTCTAACCCATCTTCCCTCCAAACTTCTTGAGCATGTGGACTCTACCTCCTGCCTTTATAATCTACAATGCTCTAATGCCTCAAAGCCACAATCCCATTATACAATCATAAAAGTGATGGTCCCTGGCACAGAGAGTTTACAAGCCAAGCAGAAGACTAGAAACAAACAACTGGAGACAACAGACAGGAGGAGCACAACGCAACAAGAGGATTAAAACAGCATTAAGCATTGATCATAGCCAACCAGCCACCTAGCCAATCACAATCAATAGAAGAGTCTCTTCAGTTTCATGCTAGATCTACAGCTTTTGAAGCAGATGAACACAAGCTCCTAGTGTGATGCTGTGGCCAAAAGAGATAATGCAATCCCGGGATGTATAAATAGGGGAATCTTGAGTAGAAATAGAGAGATGATTTTATTTCTGTATTTGGCGCTGGTGCGACTGCTGCTGGAATCCTGTGTCCAGCTCTGGTGCCCAAAATTCAAGGATGCTGATAAATTGGAGAGGGTTCAGAGAGGAGCACAAGAATGATTAAAGGATTAGAAAACATGCCTCCTAGTAGTAGACTTAAAGAGTTCAGTGGTCAAGGACTATGGATCTTGAGTCATCATCCTCAAGGCTCTTTGGCATGAGCAGGGTTTAACCTGCTACCCCAGAACCTCCTAGCTACTGTCAGAATAGGATCTGAACGCAGAAGGAGGGCCTCAGTCCTGGGAGCTGATTGGCAGAACACTGGGGGCCCTGATTGGTCCACAGCCCCTATTTAAGCTGAGCATAGGAACAGGAAGTTGTTCATGCAACTGGATCTGGAACACATCCTGTTCTGACTTTGCACTGCCTCTTCCTGTTGATTGACTCTGGTTATTGATCTGTGATTCCGCTCTTAAGTTTGTCTCCTGCCTCTCACCTGGCCTTTTCCCCAACTCCTGCTTTGACCAACAGGTCAGACTGTCTATGTCCCAGTTGTGACATCAATCTATGTAGCTTAAAGGTTAAAAGGTGACTTGATCACAGTCTATAAGTATCTACATGGGGAACAAATATTTAATAATGGGCTTTTCAATCTAGCAGAGTAGGACATAATATGATTGAATGGCTGGATGTTGAAGCTAGACAAATTCAAACTGGAAATAATGCATACATTTTTGACAGTGAGGATAGTTTAACCATTGGAACAATTTCCAAGGGCATGATGGATTCTCTATCACGCACAATTTTTAAATCAAGAGTGGATGTTTTTCTAATAAATCTGCTCTAGGAAATATTGTGGGGAAGTTTTCTGGCCTGTGTGATACAGGAGGTCAGACTAGACGATCGCAACGGTCTCTTCTGGGCCTGGAATCTCTGAAAGTACTTCACTTAGGAAGGAAAAATCAAATGCACAGGTACAAAATAGGGAATAATTGGCTAGCTTTTCAGCAGCTGAATGAGTCAGCATTGTGATGCAGTTGCATAAAAGGCTAATTTCTGATTCGTATTAACAGGAGCTTTGAATGTAAGACATGAGAGATAATTGTCCCACTCTACTTGGCCCTGGGGAGGCCTCAGCTGGAGTACTAAGTCCAGTTCTGGGTGCCACACTTTGGGGAAGATGTGGATAAATTGGAGAGAATTCAGAGGAGAGCAACAAAAATGATTAGGGCTTAGAAAACCTGACGTCTGAGGAAAGGTTAAAAAACTCGGCATGTTTAGAAAAGGAGACTGACATGGGTGGCGGGTGAAGCTTCCCCTTGGGGAAGCTAGCCCCCTGCCCTGTCTCTTCTGGCAGAGGCCCCACCCCTGTTCACTGCTTTCAGCCCCCCACCCCTCCACCTGGCTCTGGCTGGGGGGGGGGCGGGGGACAGAGAGCTTGGCCCCTCCCCCAAGACTGGAGGCCGCAGCGGCAGAGCCCGGAGCTCCTCCCCCATTCTGCCCCCTTCACCTGCAGCCCTGCCCAGGGCCCCACCCCTTTCCGCCCCTTCCCCCGCACATGGCCTCACCCCATTCCATCCCTTCCCCTATGGCCCCATCCCCATTCCTCCCCCACTACCTCTTGCCCACAAGATGCAACCCCCTGCTTGATTCTTTCCCCCCCCCCGCCTCCCCCCACTGCAGCCCCAAGACCAGAAAAGCTCTGTGCCCCTCCCGCAGCCCGGGGGCTGTGGGGGGTGGGAGCGAGAGCTCCTCCAGCCCCAGGGCCATGGTGGGGGGACATTTTATCCCAGGCCTCCAATTGGCTCAGCACGCAACAAAAGAACTGGTGGCAACACTTTTTAACAGAAAAATTTCCCTGTATCATGCATCCATCAGCATCCTTAAAAATAAACGTGGATTGTGGTGACACGGACTCCCACTGGTGGTTCACTGCTCTGTCAGCAACTTGTCAGGCCTGACACACTAACTGCACCGAGCACACTGCTGTCAAATGACAGCTGGCGACACACGGGTCATTTGTATCATTGTGTGATGTCATAGAATCATAGAATATAAGGGTTGGAAGGGACCCCAGAAGGTCATCTAGTCCAACCCCCTGCTCGAAGCAGGACCAATTCCCAGTTAAATCAATGTGTGCATAGACGGTGCATGAAGAGTTACGTGTGTGTGCAGGAAATACGTTCTAAAACATTTTGATGGCAGAAGCAATAAACAAATTTGCCCTAGACAGAGGAATGTTGATTTGCTTGTTTGCCTAAGTCTCACATGGAAACCAAGCAGGCTGATACCAGAGACAATGGGCAGGTCATTTGCTTCTGAGGTAAACAACAGAAATTAGCAGGAGGATGAGGAAACAGTCTGGCATTAGCACACCAGAGTCTGAACCCCAGGGGGCCAGCCTGACTCTTGAGCCAAAGACAACGAACTTTGGGAAATACAAGGAAAAGCAAAAGGGCATCGTGTTATCACAAAGAGGCCAGTGCTCTTTGTATGGTGGATACCCTGCCATGTGGGTGGGTGTGACAAACTAGGGTACAATCCAGACCAGTGCAGGGCTGTGTCACCCCTGCCCCGTAACCTGGGGGGCCTTGCTGCTGTAGTGTCCAACCTAGTCTGCCCACAAACAGCCTGCGGGTCATTCCCAGATGTGTTTGTGTAACTGCACACTGTTTGTTGCACTTGGACTAAACTCCGTCTTTTACCAGCCTTGGTTATACCGCAGGGAGACCCCCAACACACTAACAGTCCAAATTTCCCCCCATGAAATGTAGTCTTGTGCTGCCCAGCCCTCTCCTGGACAGTCCAAATATATTAAGTCTGTTAGTCCTTTAAGGGAATAAATACACAACAGTTTATTACCTTAAATAGTTACCCACACACTTTTTAAAAACACACTGGATTAGATAAAACAAGTTTATTAACTACAAACAAACAGATTAAATGAATACAAGTAATGAGGCATAAAATACATAAGTGGTTACAAGAAAAATAAAGATAAAATGTTGTCTTGTGCCTAGCTTACCAAACTACCTGTATATTAGATTCAAGCAGAGTTTCTTACCACATTTTTAGCAGCATTACTGACCAAACTCTTCAGGTCAGGACCTCTCCTGTAAAGCCCAAAGGCGGTTTCCTTTGTCTTCTAAGGTGCAGAGAATGAGGTGGGCAAGGAGAGAGAGCAGAGTGTCTTGGGGGTGTCATCCTCTCTTTTTTATAGTTTTTTTAGTCTCTTTTTGTAAAGCATTTCCATCTAAGAACAAGTAGACAGGCAGTCTGCTGGAGAAAGGAGACTCTAGGCTGTTTCTTTGCTAAAATGCGGACTTCTTTGTTCCTGCCAAAGATTGGTCACTTGGTAGGTGATTGTCCGTCAGCTTTGTTGACGCCTCGCTTGCCCTTTATCTTTGAGAAACTGATTTAACCACTCCCCAAACTCACCTGGGAAATGCACGTCAGTCACGATTTTTATGTTCATAACTTTACATATAATGGTACTATATGCACTCTACCATGATATTACTAGGCAATAAATTATGAATGTTCACCTTGTACAAAGATTATTACAATAGCGTGCAGGGGTGTATTCCACCACAGTGGGTAATGCTAAAAGGTTTCTTTAGTTAGAAACTTATTTTAGTCAAGGATTTTAGCTTGTTAAATTTTAGTCACTTAGAAGCATGTTATGCTTGTTTGATTTGTAACCATTTCTGTCTCTATTGTTCTTAATATCCCTTAAATTTCTGTCCTTGGTTAATAATCTTATTTTTGTATCGTAAGCATGACAGTGCTATTATAGGATGATCTGAGGAATGGAAAATCTGTCTTATGAAAGGAGACTCAAGGAGCTTGGCTTGTTTAGCCTAACCAAAAGAAGGTTGGGGGGAGATATGATTGCTCTCTATAAATATATCAGAGGAATAAATACCGGAGAGGGAGAGGAATTATTTAAGCTCAGTACCAATGTGGACACAAGAACAAATGGATATAAACTGATCATCGGGAAGTTTAGACTTGAAATTAGATGAAGGTTTCTAACCATCAGAGGAGTGAAGTTTTGGAATAGCCTTCCAAGGGAAACAGTGGGGGCAAAAGACATATCTGGCTTTAAGATTAAACTCGATGAGTTTATGGAAGAGATGGTATGATGGGATAATATGATTTTGGCAATTAATTGATCTTTAAATATTCATGGTAAATAGGCCCAATGGCCTGTGATGGGATGTTAGATTGGGTGGGATCGGAGTTACTATAGAGAATTTTTTCCTGGGTATCTGGCTGGTGAATCTTGCCCATATGCTCAGGGTTCAGCTGATGCCATATTTGGGATCGGGAAGGAATTTTCCTCCAGGCAGATTGGAAGAGGCCCTGGAGGTTTTTCGCCTTCCTCTGTAGCATGGGTCACGGGTCACTTGCTGGAGGATTCTCTGCTCCTTGAAGTCTTTAAACCATGATTTGAGGACTTCAATAGCTCAGACATAGGTGAGACGTTTATCGCAGGAGTGGGTGGGTGAGATTCTGTGGCCTGCAGGAGGTCAGACTAGATGATCATAATGGTCCCTTCTGACCTTAATATCTATGAATCTATGAATTCCTGGTTAAATAACGCAAAATGGTAGTACATCTCTCTAGAGACAGCGAACTTGGTAATTGCGACAGTGACCAGGGTTAGAGGCTACAGGGAGATGCTTCTGGAGAGTTTGGGGACTGAAGTACAATAGGGTTAACCTGCCAGGCAAAATTAGGACTGGTGGCATCCTGTGGAATCTATGGGGCTGGCTAACAAACTGGAGTGGCAAGGAGTTGTCACTTTGGTTAGCACCAGCAGATGCAGAGGGGTGACTTACAGTTCTGGACACCCTGAGAAAGCATCACATCTCATGACAGATGTCATGCCTTTGCTTTGCGAACAAGAGAAGTGGGGAACTCAATGACCCCTACAGACTAACTGGGTAAAAGATTACACTACTTGTCTCCTTAAGCAATTTTCCACTTAACAGAAAATTTGCTTTAGAGCATCGACATAAATTCCATTTGAAGTAAAACACTGGGTCTGTACTCTCATACACACTATTTCTCTCTCGTATTCCCCCACTCCAACCTTTGAAGTGAGGTTTTTCTTCAAAACTCATTAGTCCAAAGGATGTATCTTACATCAAATATACTTTAAAAGATTAGTCACCCTTTCCTATACTAAAAGGGAACTAATGTAAAATTGCAGTGTTCCAGTATAATTTGGGTTATCAGAAAATCAGTGTCTTACTCTTTAACCAATAATTAACTTCATGTTTAATTTCATTTTCATTGGTAACAATAACATATTCAAAGATTACAAAATCTTATATGTGTTAGTTTTCTCTTAATTTCCAGTTCTACCAAGTGAATCCCAGGTAAAATTGCATTCTGTGTCAACATAGGTGTCTTCCACTTCTTTGAATTCATTTATCTCTTGGTCTTCTGCTATCAGTGTTGGTAAAAGGGGCCTCACACTATGTGGGAAGGTCTGCATCATGAGAACAAGCACCTCTACTCTATTTTCACACTTTCTAATCTTTCAAATTAGCAGGACATGAAGGAGAAGTGATGCACAAAACACCCGGGCAAAACTAAGAGACAAAAGCAGAGAATCAACATTTATGTATCTGTCTGTCTGCACTTGGGAATCTGACATATCTATTCCCTCATTGGTTATCATCACTTACACAGCATGAAAGTCCTTGTTGTCCACCGAGGGAGCCAGACTGGGATCCATGAGGAAGGAATGTCCTTTGAAGGCTTCTTTCTTTGCCTCTTGAAACTTTGGCTCCAAATGGTAACGGACAATTGTTCCCAGTTTAACTATGGCATCCTCAGGGACCTTACTCAATGCCATTAACCTAGGGAAAGGTATTCTAAACATAGTTTTACCTGGGCTATAGACCACGGTAGAGTCCTTCCCTGGGATGAAAACCAACCAGTGGTACCTGCTATTACTGAGTGCTTGCCAAATCCTTGGCCTTGATCAGGGTAAATTTACACTTCTCTGGAGCAGAATCCTTTACCAAACCACCCAAAATCTCAGTAGTGTTACTGAGGAAAGACTTCTCCAAACATATCCAATTTGTTTCTTTAATCTGATGGCACAGGTCTAAATTATGGACTGCATCAGAATCCCTGCAAGCCACCAGAAGTGGGGTATCTGTTCAAAAATCACTATTTCGCAACTACCTCACATTCAACACTGAGTTCATTTTATACACATTTGCAACCTGTACAAAGGGTAAGTTCAGCAAAAATGCCACTCCCATTTTCTCCACATCCACACAGATGGGGACAGTGTTTCCCAAAACATAGGCAACATACCTGATTAGGAAGGAAACATCTTCAAAAGTAATGTGAAGGGCCTGGGCCACAACAACTTTGGGAACCAAATATACGGTTATTTTTCCTAGTTCCAAGCCACTTACTCTGCAATTCTCTTCCCAGACCATTGGAAATGATACCGCCTTAACCAGCGGAACATGGGTGCGCTCGTAGTCAGTTACTTCAGTTAGCTGCAGATTGGGGTGTACTGTTATTTACCATCTCAGAGTAGAGATTTTAAAACACTACTGTTTCCATGGTAGCATGACCAATAGGTTGAAGCGTGACCTCTCCTGATGACTGAACTGCATGTGAACATCCCCCATGGGCCACATCATCATGGAAGGGCAAGGAAAAAACAAAAAGAAAGAAATGACTATTTTAGCCAATGGTCATTTGTCTCAAAGTCCCCACTAAATCCAAGCTATGTTCCGTTTAACAAAACTGCCATCCAGTTATGTGATTAAATGGTCTTCAGGAAAGAGAGAGAAACTGACAATACCAAGGGGTATAAGACACTTTTAGTTTCATATAAACTAAAATTCCAGAGCAGGCTATACCTGATGACTCAAATCAGGACAACAGATTATCCCATTTTGTTGTCCTCTGATCCACCCAAATGTGCTTCACTCAGCACCATCTCATTATTTTTGAATCATGATATTTTCAGAAGTTTTAGCATCATTGTAATGGAGAAAAATAGCCAAACTTCCCATCAGCAACAATCCCAGTTTAGCAGAAAAAAGCACAGAAGCAGCTTTGCCAGTTGAGGGAAACACAGATTAAAGCACAGAACAATTACTTGGTGTTTGGGATTCATTCAAATTCCTGCTTCAGGTCTGCGAGGAGCGGCAGAATGCAGGCAGGATAAACTCTATGGATATGTCTACACTGCTAAAAGAAGTGGCAGCGAATCTCAGATCCTGGGTCTCTCGACTCCGGTTCATGCTACAGCGCTAAAAGCCCTGTCCCCAGGCTTCAGAGCCCAAGCTCCAGCCTCAGCTGTTTCCTTGGCTATTTTTAGATCTGTAGCTTAGCCCAGGCATGTAGATCCAGGCAGGCTCTAAGACTTGCTACTGCAGGAGTTTTTGGAGTGTAGACATAACCAATCTGTCTCCAAGGGGGAACTCAATGCCTCTGACAATCACTCTGCTGACCGTGGGGGGACCGTGATGCCCAGGGTTTGGAAAAGTGATGGAGGTTAAGTCAGATCAAGGAGGAACATGCTAGATAATGCTTGCCACTGTGGGCTATGGCTGCACTGCAAGAATAGTTATGTTTTACATCAGGATAGTTAACCTGAGCTAATTATCTCCATGGAAAATCCTAGTGGAGACACGGCCTAGGTAGATTATATCTCAGTGTAGCTAGTCGAGGTCACCCTTATCTCCCCACCCGGGGCTGATGGACATTCCTGGCAGGTGAGGCATACCATTCCCTCCACTTCCAGGACAAAAGAGCTGATAGAAGGGGCCCTGCGATTCACCCCAAAGGGTGAGGTGCAAAAGGCAAAAGTGGGGCAGCTGAGAGACTGCGGTAACATAACTGGTGCAAACAGCCTTAAAGGTCTCTATGTGGGAATTAGCAAGAGTATCTTTGGCCAGCCCTAGTCAGTGGGTCTACTGTCCTTTGTGGATCCTCTGATGTCTAATAAGGTTTGAGCGGTCATTGAAGCTTTTCCCGCACTTGGAGCATTTAAAGGGTCTGTCTCCCGTGTGGATTGTCTCATGTCTAATAAGGTCTGAGCTCCGAGTAAAGCTTTTCCCGCACTCACAGCATTCATAGGGTCGCTCTCCTGTATGGATTCTCCAATGTGTAATAAGGCTGGAACTCACACTGAAGCTTTTCCCGCACTCTGAGCACCTATAAGGTCTCTCCCCCATGTGGGTTCTCTGATGCGTAATAAGGTTTGAGCGGTCGTTGAAACTTTTCCCGCACTTGGAGCATTTAAAGGGTCTGTCTCCCGTGTGGATTGTCTCATGTCTAATAAGGTCTGAGCTCCGAGTGAAGCTTTTCCCGCACTCCGAGCACCTGTAGGGTCTCTCCCCCACGTGGGTTCTCTGATGCTGAGTAAGGTTTGAGCTGTCAGTGAAGCTTTTCCCACAGTCATGGCATTTAAAGGGTCTATTTCCCGTGTGGATTCTCCAATGTTTAATAAGGTTTGAACGCTGATTGAAGCTTTTCCCACACTCTGAGCATTTATATGGTCTGTTCCCTGTGTGGATTCTCCAGTGCGTAATAAGGTTTGAGCGACTACTGAAGGTTTTCCCACACTCAGTGCAGGTGTTTTTTCTCTCTCCTGTGGGGATTCTCTGCTGGGCTGTGGTTTCCTGGAGGTCCTTGCCACTTCCCTGACAATCCCCCGGCTGTTTTCCCGGCTGCCTCTCTGGCCAGTGCTGACTCTCATGACCTTTTCTCCGCTCACAACTCCAGTGAACATTCCCTTCAAATCTTTCTGAAAACATCCCGGGTGGTTCCTCTTGCTCGTGATCTTTCTGCTGAGGATTCTCTTGCTTGTTCTTACTTACTGTCCCTTCACCTGCTGGGATAGAGAGAGAGAATCCAGGCATGAGTTATTCCAGGTGCTAGGCAGAAAGGAAACCTCAGATAGGGGATGGGAAAAGGGGGAAACAAACTACAGTAATTGCTGGAGAGATGCAAATAAACAACCCAGGAGCTGAACCCCTCCCATCTTTCCCCAGAGAAGAGAGAGGAGACCCATCCCATGCAAACACTCAGGAGGAAGGGAGACTCAGGAGGGAACTACTGCCCTGTGTCAGTGAGGATGGGTGGGAAGCTGTGACCTCCTTCATGAGGATGCATCACATGCTGTGGACAACCCTGATTAGAGTTCACAAGGGCTTTGTAGGGAATCCCACTCTTTTCTTCAGACACCAAGAAGTTTTGAGTTAGTTTAACTGATTCCTACCCCTGCAGGCACCTCCCTGGATCTCTCTTTCCTCTGAGTCCTGGAGACCCTGGACCCATGGCTCTTCCCCTTGTTCCAGCTGGGAGACATCATCAGGTTTGGAAACTGGAATCCCTGCTCAGGGGAAAAGAAAACAAGGGAGAGCAGGTGAATTTGTGGGACATTTGTCACAAACAATGTGTTGTGCATTTAATCCGAGCTCATTTTAAAGCAGCGAAATCCAGGTGCCCCAAGCTGCAGGACACTGCTAATGGGGGAATTTAACCACCTGCATCTCTGCTGGGAACACACCCAGCCAGACACTTGTCATCAAGGGGATCCTAAAACACACAGAAGGCAACTGTATGTCGCAGAAAGAGAAGACTGCAGACAGAGGAGTGGCCCTGGCTGCGCTTCGCACCAACAGAGGTGCCCAGTGACAACGAGAGGCCTCAGGAGATGGGGACCATTGGGCTGGCTGGGTCTGCACGCGTGAGGAATGTCGTCAACATCAAATGCAGCAGCTCAGGGTTATCAGACTTCAAGAAATTGAATGTTGGGGAATTACGGACTCTACTGAGTTACGTGTAATGGGAGAGAGTATGAAAATCCCCCAGGGTGGGGAGAGGGCCGGGGAATTAGACACTAATTTGGGAGAAACAAACTGTAATTCTTCCGGAAAAGGAGAATGCGAGAAATAAAACTCAGGCCACATGACCTAAGGAGAGACCAGCTCAAAGATCCAAGGAGCCTGCAGGGAAGAGAGATTGTGGCTGCTGCAGATGGGGAGTGGGAAGCGAGATCCTCTGAGTCCCCAGAAGTCTCGCTACCATCTTGTGACATCACCAAGAAAGTGCCCCTTTATGCCGGAGAAGGGGTTGTCCCATGGCAGGGAGGAAATGCAGGAATGGTGTCCAGGGTTTCAGTGGGTAGGGACGAGGGGTGCAGGGGGAGGACAAGAGTTATGACAATATAAAAAATACGTAAAAGAAAGTGAAAGTGGACTAAAGAAAATGGAGGGTAGGCTCCAAAGCAACGGGGCTTGGGCAGGGATTCTGTGTTCATGGGTTGGGACTCCCCCAGCCCCAGATTCCCCCAACCTGCCCTCCCTCCCTGGTGGCCATTAGTCTTATTCCTCCACACTCCCGGCCCCGCCCCCAGCCCTCCTCACATTCTGGGACCACAGCACCTGCTCCTTCTGTTCTCCTCCCCTGGCCCCAACCCCCTTCGCTTCCAGGTCCTCCACCGCTTTCCACCCCACCCTCCCACTATTCCAGGCTTCCCCACTCCCACTTCCCAGGAGCTCATGCCCCACAAAAATTCCCTTCCCTCCCACCAGCACCACCACTGCCTGCAGTACATGCCCTCCCTTTGCTCACAGCACCACCAGCCTGCCAGCTTCTCAGAGCTCCTGTCCTGAATGCCTCCCATTGTCCAGCCCTCCTCGGACCTCCAGAGCACCTGCTCTACAGTAACCCCGTCCCCACAGTCCTCCCAGCTCCCAGGAGCTCTTTGCCCCAAACCTTGCCCTCCCCAGCCTACCAGTGCCCGGCCCCTTCCAGAACATCGAGTTCAGCCAAGTCCAACTCATGAAAACTAGCAAATAGAGTTATGATACCTGCCCACACAGCCGAACTCTGCACTCTTTGATTGACGGCCCCATGCACCCATCATGCATTCTGCCTTGGCCCTGTATGGACCAGGAGCTCCCTACACTTAGCCTGCCCCGCAGGAGAGCACCATACCTACTCAGTGATACAACTCCTTCAGCCCCTTTAGAGCCCTGGTGTGCACAATTACCATTGACTTCCCCTTCATTAAACCCACACCACACACATCTCTCCCCTAACTGCTGACACACCCCATGGCAAGATGGCCCCTGTGCCCTGCTAGTGACAATGCAGTGCTAAAATCAGGCATGCTAGATCTCTCAAGGTCCACACAGACCTCTTTCCTCATATCCCACAGGTTAGGGAGAGGGGCTCATCCCCCTTCCCCCCCACCCCCAGAGAGCCACAGCTCCCCAGATCACCTCATAACACAATGACTGTGCTGCCGAGCTCCTCCAACACACACCTCCACCACTCAGTACTGCCACACTGGATGGAACTGTGAGACACTTGATACTGTTATTACCAATATTTTAAAGTTGCAATGAATCGTGCCAGATATGCTGTGTAAGGTGTCAGGGATTTGCAAAGTACAATAATCTTGTTTATATGTCTGTATCACCTTTGTATTGTGTTCTAGATCTGTATGGTACATCTGTATTTCAAAATTTGTGTTGTGTTTCTGGGTGACACCCCCAGGCAGAATGGCATCAGAACTAAGCCTGCTTGATGGGCTATCAAGGGACATCAGCTGTACAATGAACCCATTAAAAAGGCCAGGGACTACACCTTATGAGTCAGCAAGACATGTAGGGGCAGGCCTATGGCCAGAGAACTCTAAGGCTTTTCCATGCCATATATTGTGAAGTCTGTATTTGGAACAAAGGAAGTACCAGCCACATGGCAAAAGGAATATAAAGGGTGGGGCTACATCTTCACCATTTTGTCTTCATTCCTGCTTCTTACCTCTGGAGTAACTATTCTACAAATGAAGCTCTGAACAAAGGACTGAATGACCCATCCAAGCTGAGGATCTGTTCCAGAGGGACTTTCAAGCCGGAAAACTTACCAATACTGCTCAGAACCTCATATATGGACTTTGAAGTCTCCTATGTATCTGACTGCTTTATCATTTAACAGCTCTCTTCTTGTTTTACAATAAACCTTTAGTTTTAGACACTAAAGGATTGGCTGGCGGCATAGTATTTTGGGTAAGATCCAAACTAATATTGACATGGCAACGTGGCTGGCTCTTTGGGGGTCAGAAGAACATTTTGCATAGTGAGCGGAGCCAGAGGACTGGAATGCAGTAAAGGGGGCTGAGCGATTTCTTTTTTAGCTTCTTGATAACCAGCGTGGGGAACCAGGAGCAGTTTGCGACTGGTTGGTGAATCTAACTTCAGTGAGAACCACCAGTTTTGGGGGAATCTGCTCTTCTTTTTGCAGCCTGCCCTGACTTTGACATTTTTAGTGAGGGCTGCCCCAGGCACACCGGGTCACAAGAACAGCTACTCCTAATGCAATGAATGCAGCTGGAGTACAGGCCAACAATAACAAAGGACCTGCCAGCTCCAGGGGGGAAGAGATGGGTTGTGTGGACATTCACCTTAACTCTCCATTTCCTGGGCTGCAGAACTTTTCAGTTTTGCTGAACTCAGCATTCTGGAAGGGCAGGTGCTGTCACCAGGCCTCTGCATTAATGATGTTTTTTTCCATTTAGTTTCTCCTTCAGCGTCTCTCTCCTATCACCCTTTCTATCTCCTTCGCCCTCTCCCCTCCCTCTGGCTGGGAAACTGGGCCACCCTCTATTCCTGGGTTCCTTCACTCTCCTGCAAATGCTAACAGCAGCGAATGCCATTTTGGCTCCAAACTTTCTGCCTTGTCCCCATCTCTCCTAACCATTGTGCTGGTTTCAGGATCTCTGGCTGTGATAGGGACACAGCAGTGAAAGGGTTACTGTGCACAGCTGCAACCTGCCTGAATTCAGTCGGGTTTCAGAAGTAAGGAAAAGATTATGAACAGTGGGTTTTATTGGAATCAGTAGTTCCCAGGGTCAGTCCACATGTGCTATAGTAGCTAGCTGCTCACCCAGACTTGGTCCATATACAATGTAGCGCTCTCTTCCTATTCATAGCCAATAGGGATACAAAACCTGGTCCAGTGTTTCTCATCTGATGGGGCATGGCCCCCAGGTGGCTCAGGAAAGACAGTCATGAGGGCCAGGAAATAAAGAAAATCTCATTGCCCCTGCGCACTCTTATCCCTCAAGGTCAGGGATTCTCTCTCAGCCTCTTGAAACACACACCATGAAGGCTGAACACCCTTCCATAGGTCTGTTCTTACTTTTAGAGTAAATGCAAGAAAGTTGCAAAAATTCCTTACCTCGGATAAAGAATCGCCAATGTGAAGTGTGAGAAACACTGATCTCCACTAGCGAAGCCCCCTCCTCTTTCAGGATGAGCCCCTATACAACTCAGTGCTCTCTTCCCTTCCACAGCCAGTCTGTACACAGTATAGCAGCCCCATGTCTCATTCAGGATCAGTCTAGACAAGGGATAGCTTGGTTCCAGTCCCTCACTCCTGAGACTCTGCGGCCGCCCTGTGGCCTTTTTCAGTCGCTCATTAAAACTGCAAACTGCCCCGCGTATGGATGTTTCAGCCTCGTCTCCCCATTTCACACCACTCAGGTTCTTGTTCCTTTCCTCAAAGGGAACTGCGCCTGTCAGCTCAGGATTCACTTTGACCCTCACCAGACATCACCGCAGGAGTGAACTGGGCAGTCACTGTTCCACCGCTTTCAGGTTTATCTCGGGCTGGAGGCAGCAATCCCCTGCCGCTAACACGGTTCTTGGTCTGAAACCTCCCCATCAGAGACAGAAACGTACCTGTGTTGCTCTCCAGCTCCAGTCGCAGAGTCTCTGGGGAAGGAGAGGATGGGAGAGGTGAGAATCCAGGCCCTCGCGTTCATGGGCATATTCCTATTGGTTACTAACGTGCCTGCTTTTCATTATGAGATGGTGACCCAGAGCGAGGCTGATAACTCAGGCAGAGCCAGCCCCACAGGGCTACTCGCATGGGGAAGGGCAACTCCCTGAGCTGGGGCTGTGAGACGGAGCCCAGGGTCAGCGACATCACTATAGCCCCGACTCCTCCCCACGGCGAGGATCCCTCTAACTAGAAGGGAAGCTGCTGCAAACTCCAATTCACCTTTGAATCCCAGCAGCACCTCCTGCACGATGGCACTTTTCAGAGAGAAATCGCTGAGTCTCTTCTCCAGCTCCGCAAACCCCGGCTCTGGCTTCTGAAACGGCCCATCCTCCCTGCTGAGGAAAGCAGGAAGGGTGAGACATGGGTCCGATGCCCAATCCCAGAAGCCCCCAAACTCCGGGAAACCTGCACCTGAGTTTTATCATCTGTGATGTCACCCGCCCACAGCTCTGTGCTCTCCATGGGCCCAGAGACATGGGATGTGGGAAGCCACTGAGGCACAGAATGGAGACAGGTTCTGGTGCCCTCTGGAACACGCTGGGGTGCTGAGCCACCTCCACCCTAGGTTATTCCAGTAACAAGGGGCACCAGCATTGGGATATGTGGAAAGGGAGGAGAGGAGAGACGAAAGAGTGGGCGTGTCCCATGTGCTCACAGCGGCCACAGAGCCCAGGTCTTCCCCAGGCATTTAACTTGGACTATTTAATGCCAAAAGCCCTGAGAACTTCAGCCAAAGCAGTGACCCCAGGGGTGTCAGCCCATTGGTGGAGAGCACTGTATCCCACTTTTTATCATTGTCCTTCAGCTAGGTCATAAACTGGGGACACTCAGGCACAAAGATCAAGGGGGGAATCTGCCCCTTATGTAGAAAGCTTTTAATTACTGTTCTTTATAAAGTACTTCATTGTCACAACTTTTTTCACTCAATGGGAAAACCGCCACTTCTGCTATTGCTACCCTTTGTTTCCCTGCCTTCCCAATTCTCCTCCCTCTCTCATCCTTGTCTGTGTGTCTCTCCTCTGTTCTTTCCTCCTTAGAGAAACTCCCTATTCCTACCTCTCAAGGGCTTCACTCCCATCCCCTCGGCTCAAGAGATCAGCAGTGCAATGTTTAACGTTGACCTTCAAGTGACATCATTACAGCTGACATGCCAATGAGATTCACATGGGCCAGGGGAGTTCACACATCTCTGAGCCAGGGTTTCAGGCTGTTTCACAGACTCAGGCCTGGTCTGCACTCGAATATTAGGTGGTATTAACTACATTGCTCAGGGGTGCGAAAAATCCACACCTCTGAGCAGTGCAGATAAGCCAACTTGAGTGCCCCGGTAGACAATGCTAAGTCTAACGAGGAAGTCTCCCATCAACCTACCTACTGCCTGTCGGGGGGGGGTGGATTACCTACGCCAATGGGACAACCCCTCCCGTCGCCATAGGGAGCGTCTACACTGAAACACTGCAGCAGCGCAGCTCCACCGTTTCAAGTGTAGACGAGCCCTCAGGAAGGCGGCATCACCTCCCTTTGCATTTCGGAAGGTTTCTTTGCAACCATGAAGGCTAGAATCCGATTTTAGACAAAAGCTGAGATTCTGCACACTGTGAACACGTGACGTAGTCACATAAATACACGAGCTAGGCTGGGTCTGGCCCACAGGCCCTATGTTTGCCAGCCCTCATTAGCTGTCAGATAGTAAGAGGCTCTTCTCCGTCCTGAGGCAGCCACTAAGGAAAGTCGTGATCTCAGACATTCAGCCAGTGTGTCACAGCGGGGGAAGCGCTGTCGGCAGTGGAATTCCAATTCTAAACCATCACTTTCCAATCGAATGCGGGAAATGGAGCCCAGGACGTACCTGCTCTCAGTGCATCCCGCACCCTGCAGAGGGGGAGAAAGAAGAGGCTGTCAATGGGCCGGTCCCAGACTGGGGTGGCCTCCTGCTCTGCAGGGGAGTCACCACTGGAGCCCCGGGTATTTGGGGAATTTCAGACACTTGGGTTCACGTTCAGAGAACAGCTGGGACATCTCCCTCCCCCACAGCTGGGACATCTGCCCCCAGCAATCCCAGGAGTCCCTGCTAGGAGGTCACCATTGGGGAAAGTCTCTCCCCAGGCACTTTACAGGAAGAGAATATCCCCCCTAGTGCTGAGAGCTCCCCCAAGTCCCCTCACACCACTGAACCCACTAACCTGGGACGACATGGGACCTTGGGCCTGGTGGGGAGAGGGTGGGCTGGGAAGTTCACCCTCAAAGTGCAAATGCAGACAGACAGGGCAGGAGAGGCAGTCTTGGGGTTACAGGACCCAGGACTCCCAGGTCCCATCCCTGACTCTGCCCCAGACTCAGTGTGTGACTGTGGGCAGAACTGTGTTCCATCCTGTGCCTCACTTTCCCCTTTGTACAATAGGGATAATGTTCCTGACCCCACCTTGTGAGGTGCATTGGGGTCTAGGGCTGAGAAGCAGCGTATTACCACTGCCATAAGCCAGTCTGACCTGTGGGGATTGGCTGCTTGGCTGCTGCTGCCCCTTCCCTCCAAGCAGGGAAATCTCCCCAGACAGTCTGGAGACACCTTCATCCCTTCTCTTGACAATGGCTCTGGCTAGCTCTTCCAGCTGGGACAGCAGGAGCTGCTCCTGCTCTTCCAGAAACCCTCGCAGCTCCTTCCACTCCGCAACGATCTTCTGCCGCTCGGCTTCAGTCTGTTTCTGCAACCCAGGGAGAGGGCAGCTCGGTAAGAGGGGAGAATCAGAACTGTGCCTCCCAGCAGATGGGGGAGTTATTTACCAGAACACACGGTTGATGCGGCAGGTGACGCGAGTTCAGTTAGGCCAGGAAGGGTGGAGGAAGGAGGGCGGGGTGAGCTGTCCATGGCTAACAGGAGGGGCTTTTCTCCCAAAACCTCATCAAATTGCACTCAACCACACTCTTCTTCATCTGCCCACCCACATTTCCCTTCCCCCGTGTCCCCTAAGCTCTAGAAAGGAACCCTGGTCATTATAATATCTGAGCAGCCCTTGGGCAGGGTCTCTCCAGGCCACAGACTGACACTCTTCTGCACAGCAGCCTCTTGGACCCTAAACACATCATGTTGCTCCCACATCTGACCCTGCCCTCTCCCTGGGATCCAGTGGGGATGTTCTCCTGCCTGAGGCTGGCTGGATGGGCCCTGTGTTTGCTGTGTCATAGAATCATAGAAGATTAGGGTTCAAAGAGACCTCACAAGGTCATCTAGTCAAACCCCCTGCTCAAAGCAGGACCATTCCCAACTAAATCATTCCAGCCAGGGCTCTGTCAAGCCGGGTCTTAAAAACCTCTAAGGATGGAGATTCCACCACCTCCCTAGGTAACGCATTCCAGTGCTTCATCATCCCCTAGTGAAATAGTTTTTCCTAATATCCAATCTAGCCCTCTCCCACTGCAACTTGAGACAATTCTGTCATCTGCCACCACTGAGAACAGCCGAGCTCCATCCTCTTTGGAACCCCCCTTCAGATAGTTGAAGGCTGCTATCAAATCCCCCCTCACTCTTCTCTTCTGCAGACTAAATAACCCCAGTTCCCTCAGCCTCTCCTTATAAGTCATGTGCCCCAACTCCCTAATAATTTCCATTGCCCTCCGGTGGACTCTCTCCAATTTGTCCACATCCTTTTGGTAGTGGGGGGCCCAAATCTGAACACAAAACTCCAGATGTGGCCTCGCTGAATAGAGGGGAATAATCACTTCCCTCCATCTGCTGGCAGTGCTCCTACTAATGCAGCCCAATGTGCTGTTGGCTGTCTTGGCAACACGGGCACACTGCTGACTCAGAGCCAGCTTCTCGTCCACTGTTATCCGCAGGTCCTTTTCTGCCACTTAGCCAGTCGGTCCCCAGCCTGTAGCGGTGCATGGGATTCTTCCATCCTAAGTGCAGGCCTCTGTACTTGTCCTTGTTGAACCTCATCAGCTGTCACTCAGGGCACTCTGGTCCCAGGCAAACCTGAGGGGAAAGGGGCTCTGGGCACCTACCAGCAGCTCCACGCTTTGCCGCTCCTCCTCGGCTTTTTGTAGACAGGCCAGATGCTCTCCCAGTGCCTCCTGCAAGAAGTGGGGAGGGAGATGTTACAAACTGCCCCAAAGGGCCTCACAGCTCCCAGATTTCAGGGCCCAAACCTGCCCTGTACGTGCCTGTGCAGAGCTCCTGGGACTCCGACTTTCTTGCCAGATACAGTTCAGCCTCAGCGAGGAAGATCTCACGGGGCCAGAGAGAGCAGGACCAGGTTTTCCAAGGAAGACACAGGACACCCTGGTGAAGTGCCAGGTGCAGCCCAAACCTCAGTCCCAAACATTCCCCAGCTCCACCCACATCCCAAACAACTAACTTCAGATGTTCCCCCAACTTCCCCAGCTCCATCTCCAACATACCCAAAGTGCCGGATCTGAACATGGACCCCCTCAAACCAAATATCCCGCAAACCACCACCCCCAACACCCAGCTCTGACCCCGGCACACACACTGGTACACCCCCAGGCCCAGCTTTAAACCTGCCCCCCATCTACAGCCCCCTCACACCAACACATCCCAAAGTCTGGCTCTGACTCCCCCACGGACACACCCCAGAGCCCAGCTCCAAGCAGCCCCCCGATCCCATCAGAAGGGCCACACTGGCTCAGACCAGTGGCCCCCCAGCCCGGTCTCGTGTCTTGGACAGTGGCAAGTGTCAGATGCGTCCAGCCCCGACTGCGGGCAGAGTTTGGGGACACCCGCAGTTGGGGGCGGGAGGGAAGGAGAGTGTGTCCCGGACTATCCTGGCTAAGAGCCATTCACCAGCCGGGTCCGCGCCCCCTGCTCCCGGTGTGGACGCTCCCTGGTCTCTGTCCCGGCATCGGGGCTTGTCTGGCTCGTTCCCCGTCCCGTCCCCTGGCCCCGGACACCCCGTTACTTCCCCGGCTGCGGGGAGCGCGAGGAGATCTGCCCCCAGAGCCCCCCAGCAACCCCGGATCTGCCCCGGCGACCCCGGATCTGCCCCCAGAGCCCCCCAGAAACCCCGGATCTGCCCCCGGAGCCTCCCCGGCAACCCCGGATCTGGCCCCAGAGCCCCCCCAAGAGACCCCGGATCTGCCCCCAGAGCCCCCCCCAAGAGGCCCCCCAGTGACCCCGGGTCTGCCCCCAGAGACCCCGGATCTGGCCCCGGCCGCGCGGGCCCCGGCCCACCTCGCTGCCCCGCGACTGGCGGGGCCGGAGCAGGCGCCGCGCTGGGCCCCCGGCCCCGGCCATGGCTCCCCGGCGGAACAAAGGGCTGCGGGGGGGGCGGGAGCGGCGGCTCCGCCCCGGATTGGCCCGGCGGCGGGTGGGGCCCGCGCAGGGGGGTTCGTGACGCTCGGTGACTCCAGCTCCCGAGAGAGGAACCCGGAGCCCGGCTCGGCGGGGCGGGGGACCTCGGGGGTCTCGCCCCGCAGCGGGGCCGGTTCCAGCGGGGGAAAGTCCCTGCGAGGCAGCCCGGCCGGGGGCCAGGGCCAGGCTAGGTCGGGGAGAGCGGCTGGTGCTGGGAGAACAGAGCGGAGACCGGGCAGCGGTTCCAAGCTGGCTTGGCGGCGGCTGCTGCTTCTCTGTGTCTGTCTCTGGCCATCAATGCCCGCGAAAGGATAAACTACAGTGAAGCTGCTGCCCTCAGCTCCGGCCGGATTGTAGGCGAGAAACAGAAGAATGTTTCTTTCCGAGCAAAGCAGAGAGTCCTAGATCCTAGGGCCAGAAAGGGCCACTGTGATCATCTGCCCTCCTGCAGAGCACAGGCTGGAGAAATTCCCCAAAATAATTCCTAGAGATCTGTTAGAAAAACAGCCAATACTGATTTTAAAATGGCCAGCAAGAGAAAATTCACCACCATCCTTGGTAAATTGTTCCAATGGTTAATCTCCCTAATTGTTAGCAATGTGCCCCTTATTCCGGTCTGGATTTGTCTAGCTTCAACTTCCAGCCATTGGATCTCTGCTACATCAAGGAGCCCATTATTCAGTATTTGTTCCCCATATAGATACTTATAAACTGTGATCAAATCACCCCTTGACCTTACCTTTGTTCACCTGAGTAGATTGAGCTCTCTGTGTCTATCACTACAAGGCAGGTTTTCTAATCCTTTATTCATTCTCGTGGTTCTTCTCTGAGCCCTCTCCAATTTATCAACATCCTTCTTGAATTGTGGGCAGCAGAACTGGACACAGGATTCCAGCAGTGATTGCACCATTGCCAAATACAGAGATTAAATAACCTCTCTGCTCCCACTCAAGATTCCCCTGTTTATGTCGCCCAGGATCACATTAGCTCTTTTGGCCACAGCATCATGTTGGAAGCCCATGTTCAGCAGATTGTCTACCATGACCCCCAAATCTTTTTCAGAGTCGTTGCTTCCCGGGATAGAAATAACCATAACCTCCCCATTATTTACCACTCCTCCAATTTTTTTGTCATCTGCAAACTTTACCAGTGAAAGTTTTATGTTTTCTTCCAGGTCATTGATAAAATGTTAAATAGCATAGGCCTAAGGCCAAGAACCAATCCCTGCAGGACCCCACAGAAACTGGCCAATGATTCTTTGTTTACAGTTACATTGTGAGACCTCTCAGCCAATTTTCAATCCGTTCAATGTGTGCCTTGTTAATTTTATATTATTCTAGTTTTTTAATGAAAATGTTGAGCGGCACCAAGTCAAACACTTTTCAGAAGTCTAAGTGTATTCCATCAAGGCTATTACCTTTATCAACCAAACTTGTAATCTCATAAAAAAAGATACCAAGTTATTCTGACAGGATCTATTTCCATAAATCCATATTGCTTTGCATTAGTTACATTTCCCTCCTTTAATTCGTTATTAATTCAGTCCAAGATCAGCCACTCCATTTTCTTGCCCAGGATCGACGTTAAATTGACAAGCCTGTAATTACCTGGGTCATCTCGTTTATTTTTTAAAAATTGGCACAATGTTAGCTTTCTTCTAGTCTTCCGGGACTTACCCCGTGCTGGAAGACTTATTGAAAATCCATGTTAATGGTCCTGTGAGCTCCTTTTAAAACTCTTGGATACAAGTTATCTGGACCTTTGAAAAATAAACCATAAAAATGTCTAACTTCGGTAGTTTCTGTTTAATGTCCTCCAGAGATACTGGTAGAATGGAAAGAGTGTTATTACCATATGATGAGACTATATCTGTTTGTTCCCCAACTACAGAACAGAAATATTTATTGAATACTTCTGCCATTTCTGCATTACTATTCATAATTCTACCATCTCCATCCAGTAATAGACCAATACCATTGTCAGGGGATTCTTCTTCTTCTAATTTTATTTTAAAAATCCTTCTTATTGTGCTCAACTCTGCTGGCCATAAATTTCTCCTTGTGTCTCTTTGTTTCCCTTATCCATTTTATACCTTTCCTAAATTCTGATTTATATTATTTACTATTAATTTCCCCTTCTTCCATTTGTTATATATATTTTTAAAGTTTTTTAAAGCAGCCTTCACTTTCCCTCTAAACCAGGTCTTTTTTTTTTTTAACCACCACAGCCTTCTTCCTCAATGGTGGGATTATGGCGTTTGCAGTATCTGAAATGATTCTGTGACACTGTGTGCCTCAAAGTAAGTACCCTGGAACCCACATATTCACTGCTGTCATATAATTATGACACATTTTGTATAAAGTATACCCTGTAGGGTATCATTTTAAAAGTCTTGATCATAGAAGATTAGGGTTAGAAGAGACCTCAGGAGGTTATCTAGTCCAACCCCCTGCTCAAAGCAGGACCAACACCAATTAAATCATCCCAGCCAGGGCTTTGTCAAGCCTGAACTTAAAAACCTCTAAGGAAGGAGATTCTACCACCTCCCTAGGTAACCCATTCCAGTGTTTCACCACCCTCTTAGTGAAAAAGTTTTTGCTAATATCCAACCTAAAACTCCCCCACTGCAACTTGAGACCATTACTCCTTGTCCTGTCATCTGCTACCACTGAGAACAGTCTAGATCCATCCTCTTTGGAACCCCCTTTCAGGTAGTTGAAGGCAACTTGAGACCATTACTCCTTGTCCTGTCATCTGCTACCACTGAGAACAGTCTAGATCCATCCTCTTTGGAACCCCCTTTCAGGTAGTTGAAGGCTGCTACCAAATCCCCCCTCACTCTTCTCTTCTGCAGACTAAATAAGCCCTGTGCCCTCAGCCTCTCCTCATAAGCCATTGCCCCAGTTCATTTTCATTGCCCTCCACTTGACTCTCTCCGATTTGTGGGGGGGACGACCAAAACTGGATGCAATACTCCACATGTGGCCTCACCAGTGCTGAATAGAGGGGAATAATAACTTCCCTTGATCTGCTGGCAATGCTCCTACTAATGCAGCCCAATATGCCATTAGTATTCTTGGCAATAAGGGCACACTGTTGACTCATATCCAGCTTCTCATCCACTGTAATCCCCACGTCCTTTTCTGCAGAACTCTCGCTTAGCCAGTCGGTCCCCAGCCTGTAGCGGTGCATGGGATTCTTCCTTCCTAAGTGCAGGACTCTGCACTTGTCCTTGTTGAACCTCATCAGATTTCTTTTGGCCCAATCCTCAAGTTTGTCTGGCTCACTCTGGACCCTATTCCTACCCTCCAGTGTATCTACCTCTCCCCCCATCTTAGTGTCATCCGCGAACTTGCTGAGGGTGTAATCCATCCCATCATCCAGATCATTAATAAAGATGATGAACAAAACTGGCCCCAGGACCGACCAGTTGGGCACTCCGCTTGATACCAGCTGCCAACTAGACATGGAGTCAATGATCACTATCTATTCAGCCCAACAATCTAGCCAGCTTTCTAACTACCTTATAGTCCATTCATCCAATCTGTAATTCTTTAACTTGCTGGCAAGAATATTGTGGGACACTGTATCAAAAGTTTTGCTAAAGTCAAGCAATATCACGTCCACCGCTTTCCCCATATCCAGAGCCAGTTATCTCATCATAGAAGGCAATCAGGTTGGTCAGGCATGCCTTGCCCTAGGTGAATCCATATTGACTGTTCCTGATCACCTTTCTCTCCTCCAAGTGCTTCAAAATGGATTCCTTGAGGACCTGCTCCATGATTTTTCTGGGGATAGAGGTGTGGCTGTAGTTCCCTGGATTCTCCTTCTTCCCTTTTTTAAAGATGGGCACTATATTTGCCTTTTTCCAATCATCCAGGACCTCCCATGATCACCATGAGTTTTCAAAGATAATGGCCAATGGCTCTGCAATCACATCAGCCCACTCCCTCAGCACCCTCGGATGCATTGCATCTGGTCCCATGGACTTGTGTATGTCCAGCTTTTCTAAATAGTCCTTACCTGTTCGTTCACTACTGTGGGCTGCTCACCTCCGCCCCATACTGTTCTATCCAGTGCAGCAGTCTGGGAGCTGACCTTGTCTGTAAAGATCGAGGCAAAAAAAGCACTGAGTACATCAGCTTTTTCCACATCATCTGTCACTAAGTTGCCTCCACCATTCAGTAAGGGTCCTACACTTTCCCTGAACTACTTCTTGTTGCTAACATACCTGTAGAAACCCTTCTTGTTACTCTTAACATCTCTTGCTAGCTGCAACTCCAATTGTGCTTTGGCCTTCCTGATTACACCCCTGCATGCTCAAGCAATATTTTATACTCCTCCCTTGTCATCTGTCCAAGTTTCCACTTCTTGTAAGCTTCTTTTTTGTGTTTAAGCTCACTGAAGATTTCACTGTTAAGCCAAGCTGGACAGCTGCCATATTTGCTATTCTTTCTGCACATCGGGATGGTTTGTTCCTGTGCTCTCAAAAGCCTTCTTTAAAATACAGCCAGCTCTCCTGGACTCCTTTCCCCTGCATTTTAGCCTCCCAGGGGATCCTCCCCATCTGTTCCCTGAGGGAGTCAAAGTCTGCTTTTCTGACGTCCAGGGTCCGTATTCTGCTGCTCTCCTTTCTTCCTTGTGTCAGGATCCTGAGCATTAATATCCTGTTGGATTGGACGTGCTGTCATTGTATGGGAAGTTGTGAAGTTTTGCCATGTGCATTACTGAAATATGTTGTGAGGTTGGGAGATGGCCACAGCCAACCTTTCAGTTACAACAAATGACCAGCCAGACACGTGCTGATGGCCCATTAAAGGGAATTCGCTCTCCCACTGGCCATCCCAGAGACTTCTCCGAGAGAGCACATATCACTTCCTGGCAGGGATCTCTCTAGCAAGCTGGAAGAAGGTATAAAAAGAGAGACAGTGACATCATTACTTGTCCTCTCCCCCATGCCATCTCA